AAACTTACAAATCATAGGCATACAGGAAGGAGAAGAATCCCAAGATAATGGCATAGACCAGATCTTCAAGAGAATTGTGGAAGAAAATTTCCCAAAATTAAAGAAAGACATGCTCATACAAATACAAGAAGCATATAGAGCACCAAACAGACAGGACCAGAAAAGAAACTCTCCATAGCACATGATAGAAAAACACAAAATGTACAGAACAAAGAGATAGTACTGAAAGCTGTGAAAGAAAAACGAAGTCACATATAAAGGAAAACCCATCAGGATTGCAGCTGACTTTTCAGTGCAAACTATGAAAGCCAGAAGAGCCTGGACCAAAGTATTCCCTGTTTTAAATGACCACAGATGCCAACCCAGATTACTATACCCAGCCAAAATGTCTATTATCGTCAAAGGGGAAAGAAAAATCTTCCATGACATAAATAGGCTGAAAGAATTCCTGTCCACAAAATCAGCCCTTCAGAAAGTTCTTGAAGCAATACAAAGAGCTAAAGAAAGGAATAACTATACCCAAGGGATTGCAGAAAGAAATTCAATGGAGGTATAACTGTGGAAACATACAGCTATATCAAGAATGTGAACAGAAATAAAAATGACAGGATTCAATACACATCTTTCATTAATAACTTGAAATATCAACAGACTGAACTCCCAGTTAAAAGACACAGACTAGGTGAATGGATTAAGAAACAAACCCATCTTTTTGATGTCTGCAAGAAACTCATCTTATTTCAAGGACAGGCACTGCTTTAAGGTAAAAGGATGGGAAAAAATATACCAAGTGAATGCTACTAAGAAAAAAACAGGAGTTGCAATTCTAATATCTGACAAAATAGACTTTAAACTAAAACTAATCAGAAAAGATAAAGAGGACCACTTCATTCTGATCAAAGGAACAATAGATTAAGAAGATACTACAATTATGAAAATATATTCACCGAACTCTGGGCACTCATTTTCACAAAAATAGTACTACAGGACTTCAAGACCCAGATTAATCCCAAGTCATTAATAGTAGGGGACTTCAATACCCCACTGTCACCATTAGATAGGTCAACAGGACACAGAGTTAAAAGAGACATCAGAATTAAACAATACCATACATCAAATGGACCTAACAGACATCTACTGAGTATTCCACCCAAGAACCAAAGGATATACTTTCTATTCAGCGCCGCATGGGACATTCTCCAAAATCGACCATAAACTGAGGCAG